CCACTGAACAACACCAGCCGGGCCACACTGAGTTTTAGATGCATAATATAGTAGACTTTATTTGCTTCATTTTCTCTACCAAGAATGTTAGATGAAATGATTATCAAAGGAAATTCTGGAGGAAAAAAAACTAGCTGTGGGCAAACTAGGGGCAATAATAAGGCTTTTCAGCAAAACTATTTACAGAGGCAGTTTTGCAAGTGAGTACCACCCACAATCATTTTTCTCTGTTTTCCAAGGCACATGGCAAGAAACTAAATAAAATCTTCATTCTTTACCACTTACCCAAGATAAATATATTGAGCAAGCACCTGTTTGTAAAATGACTATACCATTACTGTTTAGAGGAAATATTTTCAGTTTATTTTTATTATTGCATTTGTATAAAGTTTTATGTGTCCATTTTTTATATGAACTACCATTTGACTGGTAGATTGTCATAGGCTTTTGAGTTCTAAGTGATTATATTATGACTCAGAAGTAGATTAATTTATTAAGACCATTAAAGAGTAGAAATAGTTATATTATTGGCAATTGTTCCTATTATAAAAAGTAATTTGGTTAAAATACTTTCATTTTGATAATATTAGGGACAACTCCCAGTCTTAGGCAAACTTGGGTGTGCCTTCACCAGTGATTTAGGTAGGATAAAATGTTAAATGGGAGAGTTCAGATTTGGACAATAGAAAGATTCCTGGAACAATGTTATGTTGATTGCGCTACACAATTTGGATTGCATCCTCAGAAACGCCCTTCAGCATAAACCATTTACCAATTGTGATTTTTACGGGGCATGCCTAGATTTGCCCTTGTTTCAGCTTTTACATATGTTAATGAAGCATTTACAGCTCTTAAGGGTTAATCTTCAGCTTACAAAATAAGTAAAGACTCCCCCCTCCCCATTACTTTAATTATAATTGAAAGATAAAAATCTAAGTTGGATTTAAAGGAAAATAGTTGGATTTAAAGTAGCAGCTTGACTAGAGAATGCACACATATCATTTATACCAAGCTCAGAAGGCAAGGCAGTATGTCATACAGTACAGAAGAAAGTAAATTTTTTTTAAAGAAAAATCACTTATACTCTGACCTCTAAAATCCTCTGACCTCTAAAATCATACCTACTCTGCCTGAATGTTCTGGAATGTTTTTCAATTTTTTATTCAGATACATTCCTGGCAATTTCTAATAAATTATTTTAGGCTATTGTCCTTTGTTTTAGAACAAGAAAGTTAGAATTGCAGGGTATTGAGAAGCATGAGCATAGGTTCTCAAGACATTGACACTATTTCTCTAATCTTTCCCTTTTGGCAGAGGTGGGATGTGTCTTTGGCCGCTCATTAACCCAGGCATTTGTCTTCTCCACTATAAATACTAAAATCTGAGGTTCTCAATTCTGTTCTAGAACATCTGAGAAAAAAAGACATTCCCATTAATTGAGAATCAGAATCTTGAGAAGGAATCGTGGTATGGTTTTAGAGAGAAAAATAGAAGTTGCTGATAACTCTTCTCCAAATTACTCTTTAGAATCACTAGAGTAGATTTAGATGATGATCAAAGTTCTTCTGGTTCTAAAATTCTATTTCTTTCTCTACTCCTTCCATACTACTTATACACCTGTTTCTCTATAATTATGGGGTCCAAGTTTTCCCCTACAAGAGAGAGGAAAGGGACATGGAGAGGATGAATGAGACCTACCCTAATATGTTAACTTACTATGGATCTGTTATTTCTACTGGGTCTTAATGTGCAAGAACAACTATTTTTTAATATATTTTTTATAGATTTTTGGAGAGGAAGAGGGTGGGAGAGAGAGATAAAAACATCAGTGATGAGAGGAAATCATATATTGGCTGCCTCCTTCACACCCACACTGGAGATCAAACCCACAACCCCGGCATGTGCCCTCAACAGGAATCAAACCCTGACCAATGCTCAACCAATGAACCATATTGGCCGGGCTCATATTCTTTTTTTTTTTTTTTTTTTAATATATTTTATTGATTTTTCACAGAGAGGAAGAGAGAGGGATAGAGAGTTAGAAACATCGATGAGAGAGAATCATTGATCAGCTGCCTCTTGCACACCCCCTACTGAGGATGTGCCCGCAACCAAGGTACATGCCCTTGACCGGAATCGAACCCAGGACCTTTGAGTCCGCAGGCCGACACTCTATCCACTGAGCCAAACCGGTGCCAGCTCATATTCTTTTTTATCTTTATTTTTTTATTGAAACTTAATCGACACACAACAATATATTTTAGTTCAGGAGTATAACATAATGATTTTATATTTGTATGTACTGCAAAATGTTCACCACATAAGTCTAGTAACATCACCATATGTAGTTGCAGACTTTTTCTTTCTTTTGATGAGAAAATTCCATTTCATTTTTGGTATCTTATTCTTTAAATGTATTGTTGAATTAATTGCCAAAAATTTCTTTAGGATCATTGTACCCATGTTCATCAGGGATATTAGCATTTAATTTTTCTTGTGGTGTCTTGACTAGTTTTGGTATCAGAGTAATACTAGTTTTGTAAAATAAGTTTAGAAGACTACTTTCCTTTTTTGAAAGAGTTGAGAAAAATTGGTATTAATTCTTTGAATATTTAGTAAAATTCACTAATGAACCATATTTTTATTTAGCTAGGAAGTAAGATGAGTTCAAATTAAAACTGGGAATTCAATTGCCAATATGTTGCAAAAAATATGTTAGAATAGAAAAATTTTGAATTTTTGTTTTTCAAAGCTAAATTAAGAATGAAAGTCTTCTAAAAATATATGGCGATATATGCAGCTACTATAAATGTGATAGGAAAATATCTGATATCTATTGTTGACAAATTATAGGTACTTTGATGTAATTTTGTTGCCTACATTTGGAGAAAATACTAAACTTCAATTAGAAGTTAGTGAAAATAAAGGTGTAATTTTTTCCCATTGTTGTTCACAGGCTATCTCCCTATCTTTCCCCTTCCAAAATCTTTATTCCCTAGACACATTTGAGAAAGCCAAATGTAATCCTGTGCATCACAAGAGACTTAATCTTTGAGGAAAATGGAGCTGAGTCTTTTCCATATTTAGCCCTTAATGTTTTTCAAGCTTTTAAAATACTTAAGTGGTTAGTTGTTAAATGGTGATTATCAATATCTCTTGCATTAAGAACTTGGCTTATAGCCATTAATTTTATAATATGTTACTGAAGAAATAGATGTTTATAAAAGCCAGTTTTGTCATTTTTATCTTAAGTTAAATCAGACCATTTCTGCTAATAGTTACGCATGCTATATTTATGTCTTGACTTTGAGTTATTATGGATGTGTGTCATATGTTCTGTTGTCATTAAGGAGAAAATGTAACTCATGTTGTTGGCCCTGAATCATCCCTCTGCTTTATAAAATGAGTATTGCTTTGTCAAGTTTATGTTGTTGTTGTTATACTAGTAGCCCTGTGCATGAATCTGTGCGCCAGTAGCTCTCTGTGGGGCCTAGCCACTCTACACTCACTGCCTAGAGGCTCTCCGCAGCCCAGAGGCCCATCCGCACCCCAGCCTGGCCAGAGCCCATCTGTGGCTGGGCACAGAACACTCATGCTGCCCTCTGTCAGCATCCACTCACACCCCCCACCCTTCCCGCCTCCCGGGACTAGGGGACTCCAGCAGGGCTGAGAGGACTGGGCACCGCCTTCTTGTGGCTATGGGTGCCACCATCTTTGTCATGGAGTGATCGTTAATTTTCATATTACCCTTTTATTAGATAGGAGTTTTTAATCCTCACCCGAGTACACCCTTAGAGAGAGGAAGAGGTGGGGAGAGAGAAACATCCATCAGTTGCCTTCTATACTGGGGACCAAACCTGTAACTCACATATGTGCCTTGACTGGGAATCAAACCAGCAACCCTCAGTGTCCAGCATCCAACCACTCCAGCTGGGCATTATTTTTTTAATATGTTTTTATTGATTTCAGAGAGAGAAAGGGCAAGGGAGAGAGAGAAACATCAATGATGAGGGAGAATCATTGATCAACTGTCTCCTGCATGGTACCTACTGGGGATCAAACCTGCAACCAAGGCAAGTCCCCTGATTGGGAATCAAACTGTGACCTCCTGTTCATGGGTTGATGCTCAACCACTGAGCCATATCAGCCAGGCTGTTGTTAGTGTGTGTGTGTGTGTGTGTGTGTGTGTGTGTGTGTGTGTGTGTGTGTGTGTATGTGTTTGTGTGTATTTAATTTACTTTTTATTTTAGTAAAAACATATGAAACAAAGTGTCATTTTAACCATTTAAATGCTGGGATGATTAATTCATTGGCATTAATTACAATTCACAATGTTGTACAACCACTACCACTATTTCTAAAATTTCTCATCACCACAAACAGAAATTCTGTACTCATTAAGCAATAACATCCCATTTCTCCATTCCCCACATCCCTGGTAACCTCTAATCTAATTTGTCTATATATAAACTTGCCTTTTCAAGATATTTCATACAATTAGAATAGTATAGTGTTTGTCCTTCTGCATCCAGCTTATTTCCCTTAGCATAATATTTTCAGGGTTCATCATGTGGTAGCATGTATCTGAACTTCATTTTTTATGTCTGAAAATATTGCGTTGTCAGTATATATCGTGTTTTATTTATCCATCTTCTGAAGGATACTTGGATTGTTCCCACCTTTTGGCTATTGTGAGTAATGCTCTCATAAGCATTGACGCACAAGTATCTGTTTGAGTTCCTGTTTTCATTTCTTTTGGATGTATACCTATAAGTGGAATTGCTGGGTCATGTGGTAATTCTGTGGCTTAATTTTTCAAGGAAGTAATACAATTATTTTTTGTAATAGCTTATTATATTTTTGTTATCCTTTCATTAATGTTTCTTAAGCACTTAAAAAATTGTTTTGCTTATTTCCTTGCTTAACTTTTGTTGCTGATTTTTAAGAAATTATTTTGGTCATTCATTTTTTTCTTTTCTTTTCAATTGTTTGTTTTTCAGAGCCGAGTCAGAACTCCATCACAGGGGAACACAGCCAGCTGTTAGGTATTGTATTACTGTGGGGATTGACTCTCTAAAGTTACCCTTTTACTGTTTATACTAACAGACATACTCCCTTCCCTAATTCTATTTTCTTTCTTCTCATTTTCTACTTTTCACTCCTCAACTTTTTTTCTGCTGTTTCTAGTTCCAACTTGGTAAATTTTAGGTAACTACTTTTGCAATTGATTGCTAAGACTCAGTTTATAAAAATAATTTTAATACAGGTATCAAATTATGCTGTACTTGAGGCCTGGTGCACATAATTCATACACGGGCAGGGAAGGAATCCCTTAACCCAGTCTGTGCCCTCTCGCAGTCCGGGACCCTTCACTCCTCACTGCCTGCTGCCCTTTACCACTCGGCTCACTGCTCCTTAGCACTGCCAGCCGTGAGCCTGGCTTTTGGCTAAGTGGCACTCCCCCTGTGGGAGGGCACTAGCCAGCAGGGGATAGCTCCTGCATTGAGCTTCTGCCCTTTGGTGGTCAGTGCGCAACATAGCGACTGGTCGTTCTGCTGTTCAGTCTATTTGCATATTACAGGATACCTGAAACTAATGTAATGTTCCTTGTCAATTATACCTCAATAAAAGTAATTTTAACTTAGTCTGTGGTATTAAAAAATCTGTAAGAATTGGACCTATCTTACTCCCCCAAGATACTTGCTGTGACACTTTCTAGGGAATTCTTCAGAAATTTAAATTTTTATATTGTATATGACTATCTTTTTTTACTTTTTCTGTCAATGAAATTATATTAAACAGGCTGTTCTGTGACTTCCTTTTGTTCACTTAGCATTTTATCTTGGACATCTCATACTAGTACATCTGACTCATTTCTTTGTGGCAGAATAGTATTCTATTGTATTCCTATGCTATAATTTTACTGTCCAGTTCCCTATTCTTGAGCATTTAAGTTATTTCCAACTGTTTTACTATTACAAATGATGTTGCCATGAACATCTTGTACATGTATTCTTGCATACCTCTTGTTGATATATTTGTAGAATAAATTCCTAAAAGATGAATTCCTTACTGAAAAGGTATGTACCCTTTCAAAAAGATACATCAACTTAAACTCCACCAATAAAGAGGATGGAGGCATACTCAGCTCCCTGTCATCAAAAGTAGGTATTATCAACTAGCTCAATGGTCGGCACACTCATTAGTCAACAGAGCCAAATATCAACAGTACAACAATTGAAATTTCTTTTGAGAGCCAAATCTTTTAAAATTAAACTTCTTCTAATGCCACTTCTTCAAAATAAGCTAGCCCAGGTCGTGGTTTTTTGTGGAAGAGCCACACTCAAGGGGCCAAAGAGCCACATGTGGCTCGCGAGCTGCGGTTTGCCGACCACTGCCCTAGCTGGTTTGGCTCAGTGGATAGAGCGTCAACCTGTGGACTTAAGGGTCCCAGGTTCAATTCCGGTCAAGGTCACATGCCCAAGTTGTGGCTCGATCCCCAATGGGGGTGTGTGCAGGAGGCAGTTGATTGATGATTCTCTCTCATCATGATATTTCTTTCTCTCTCCCTCTCCCTTCCTCTCTGAAATCAATAAAATATATATATATATATATATATATATATATTTTTTTTTTTTTTTTTAAAGTAGGTATTATCAGCCACACATTTTTCTTAACCTAATCAGTGAAAATGGCATCTCTAGTTTGTATTTGTGCTTCTTTAATTATGAGTAAGTACTTTTAAGTATATTAACAGCAATTTCTTTGTGTGTATATCTTTTGGTATGAGACTTTTTTTAATCCTCACCTGAGGATATGTTTTTATTGAGTTTTAGAGAGATGAAGGGAGAGAGACAGAGATAGAAACAAGGATGTGAGAGAGAAACCATTAATTGTGTCTCAGACTCGCCCTGACTAGGGATGGAACCCACAGTCTAGGTATGTGCCCTGACTGGGAATCAAATCCACGACCTTTTGGTATATGGGACAGTGCTCCCACCAACTGAGACACCCATCCACGGCAGTTTGAGGTTTATTTTGGTTTGTATATTGCTGAACTTTTAGCTGTTTGAATATGTGCAAAGCAGCTGTGGAAAATGTAAGCTGTCAAAATGTTTAAAGTAGGGAAAGTACTTGTTTGCTTATTAAAGTTTTGGAATATTAGCTAAAGAAACTGAGATACTTCTTGTCTTCTCTTTCAAGGTTAAGGTCATCTTCTCATTCCTTAGAATGAGTTTATGTGCTAGAACAGTACATGGCACCCTTGGCATTAATTAGATATTTGAATTAGTGATTTGACTTAAACCTAGCTAGAAATCTGATTACCATCAGGTTATTACATCTGGTTATAGCCTTGTGATATTGGTGCTGTCCCCATTCCTTTTCTTATATTAGTTTATTTAAACTGTTCCAAATTAACCTTCTCTATTTAATAATTTCATATTTGGATCAGGAATGGTTAAGATTTCATTGAAAGATTTTGTCATATTATGAAAAGTATATTTCTCCCTAAATGATTAAATTGTTCCTGTTTCTAATACACGACTGGCAGGTGGAGAAATTCAAGAGTAGTAGTTAGTAGGAGCAGGTGGTAGTGGAGGTAGGGGAGGACTTAGCTAATGAAATGTGCAGGAGGGGGGTTGGCACTGTTCCGGTGTTACTAAACTGGATTTTGTTTCCACTTAGGCTCTTGTAGTAAAAGATAGCAGACTAATTGTATGGAAAGAGAAATAGTATGTGATTGTGAAGGAAAGGTTTTCTTAATCAATAGTGTTGCAGAGAGACTTCTCCAGACATTTGGCAACCCACAATTCAGTTTTAAACAAACCTGGGAATTTATCCAAAGTCTTCTGGCAAGATTCTCAAGTAAGTTCATCCTGCTTGCTATCCCGGGTTCTCTCTCCCAGGTTCATTAGGTCAGATTGTATTTTCTTTTTTCTCATGCTCTGGCTAACTACCATCTTCTGTTTTCCATCTGTATCTTTGTCTTAGCTACAGCCTCAAAATCTTTAAAAAGACTAGTTTATTAAAAAATTATGTTGTTTGCAAAAAAAAAAAATGAAAGATGACGTTTTGTTATATTTTCTAATTATCTTAGAGTTCTCAGAAAAGGCATTGGTAGTTTGAATTCAAATCTTGCCAGTTCTCTATAAAAACCTTATTTAGGATAATTTGTCCTAGTAGGTGAAAAATTGTTCCTTTGCCTTGCCTGCCCGCTGAATGGAATTTGTCATAGCATTTCCCAGGCCTTCGAAATGTTTCTTCTGTCAACAGGGTGCAGTTCTTTTAAGGTACCTACTGTTCCCAGTGACTCATCAGAGCTCTTGCAAAACCCAGGGTCAGGCTGAGGAGATACATAAAAGAGTGAAACTGCTATTGTGATAGGGAATCAAGCTGTATGCTTATGATTTATGATCTCTCTCACTTTTTTTTTTTGTGTGTGTGTGTGTGTGTGTGTATGTGTGTAATTTTCAATTTAAAAATTTTGAAAGCAAGCAAATGAGCAGTGGGCCTTAACACTCATAAACGTTTTACCAGACATTCCAGGAAAAATAATTCCTCTCTTCTACAATTTCTCTCAAGGAATAGAAAAACAAGTAAACACTCCTAACTCAGTTTGAGGCGTGCCTTACCTTGATACCAAAACTAAACAGTGACAATATGAGAAGAGTATAGTCCAGTTTTATTTAGGAACACAGATATAAATATCCTAAACAAAATATTTGCATCTGAATCAAGCAATATATTTAAAAATTGTCCCTGTTGACCAGGTTGAGTTTCTAGTATAAGACATAGTTGGTTTATTTTTTAAAAATCAATGTTAACAGTATATTAACATATTAAAGGAGAAATATCTCAATAGGTACAGAAAAAAATTTGATTTGAAACATGTTTCCATTATTTAGATTTTATGAGTACATAATGATACTTAAAAAACCTTATTGATCTCCAGTGGAATATCTTAGTGAACCAATTGTTATTCTGAGAATTGGTCAATAAAGAGTAAAAGTGCTTTTATACCAATGGATAAGCAAATAGGATATTAGAAGGAATGTTTTTTTATAAAAGTATTTCAGCCTGCCCAGAGTGGCTCAGTTGGTTGAGTATCATCCCGTGCACTGAAAGGTTGCTGGTTTGATTCACAGTCAGAGCACATACCTGGGTTGTGGGTTTAGTCCCCTGTTGGAGCAGGTATGGAAGATAACTGAATGATCTCTCTTTCTTGCTCTCCCTGCCCTCTCTCTCTCCCTTCCTCTCTTTAAGCATGTTCTCGGATAAGGATTTTTTTAAATGTATTTCAGCTAATAAAGAATAATATATTCAAACATCACCATTTTTAACTCCTCATAAATCTAGGCATTAATCATCAATAGTTGCTAATAAGACCAACCAGATAACATGTACTTCTAATAGAAGACCAAAATACCACTCTGAAGTTTTTCTCCCTCTCTCCATCTAAAAATACTAAATGTGGTTAAGTCTCTATACCCAACTACTAATTTATAGGAAATACCCCCCAAAAATATTAAACATCATCACATGGATGCCATCATCAAAATTCAGATATTACAAACTACTAACCAAAGAACATAGTTTCTTCAACAAATAAATTGCAAAAAAAAAAAAAAAAGAAAAAAAGAAAGCCAAAAAAAAAAGGTTTAAGAGAGATAGTGATCAATCATACTGTGTGCCTCTTATTTGGCTACTGATTTGGACAAACACTAAAATAAAAAATATAATAAGGGGTTAATATCCAGAATTTATGAAGAATTTATACAACTTAACACAAAAAAACATTCCATTAAAAAGTGGACAAAGGCCGGGACCGGTTTGGCTCAATGGATAGAGCATCGGCTTGGGGACTAAAGGGTCCCGGGTTCGATTCCGGTCAAGGGCATGTACCTTGGTTGTGGGCACATCCCCAGTAGGGGGTGTGCAAGAGGCAGCTGATCGATGACTCTCTCTCATTGATGTTTCTAACTCTCTATCTCTCTCCCTTCCTCTCTGTACAAAATCAATAAAATATATTAAAAAAAAAAAAAAA